AGGACAAAACGGCATCTTCAGGCTTGCAAAATCTAGGGAGAATAGGAAAAAGGATCTAGGTAGCATTAGATTTATTAAGGACAACAATGGTGTTCTTATAGCGAAAGATCATGATATTAAGAGGGTTTGGGGTAATTACTTCTTTGATTTATTTAATGACGGTGCCTCTCCCTGTAGAGAAAGTACCGTTGATGGGTCATCCGACCATCATACATCGGCCAATGACTGCCCTACAAGTAGGATTGGGTTTGAGGAAGTCAAAATGGCTCTTAGAAAGATGGGAAGGGACAAAGCTGTCGGTCCTGATCAAATTCCTATCACTGTGTGGTTGGCCCTAGGAGAAGAGGGAGTTAAGTGGTTGACCAATATCTTTAATATTATTTTAGAGACTGCCAAGATGCCAGAGGAGTAGAGAGAGTCCACGGTGATACCAATCTATAAGAATAAAGGAGATCCCCAACGTTGTGGTAACTACAGAGGTATTAAACTACTCAGCCATACCATGAAGCTATGGGAAAGAGTGATAGAGGCTAGGTTGAGACAAGTTACTAAGGTTTCGGAAAACCAATTTGGCTTTATGCCAGGCAGGTCTACCACGGAGGCAATTCATCTACTTCGACGACTTATGGAGAAATATAGGGAAAAGTCTAGAGATCTTCACATGGCGTTCATTGACCTTGAGAAGGCTTATGATAGCGTTCCCCGCGATACGATCTGGAAGACTTTGGAAACGAGACGGATCCCAACTATTTATATCCGGACGATACGTGATATGTATTGTAGATCTACTACATACGTCAGGACTACAGTTGGCGACACCGAGGCATTCCCGATGGAAATCGGACTCCACCAGGGGTCGGCTCTTAGCCCTTACATCTTCGCCTTGATTATGGACAACATCTTTTGTGCGACACCAGACGGTGTACCATGGTGTATGCTTTTCGCTGACGACATTGTCCTAGTGGCTGAAATAAAATCTGAGTTGAATAGTAGACTGGCTACCTGGAAGACTGCTTTAGAAGAAAAAGAGGTTTAAGGATCAATATTGATAAGACAGAGTATTTATGTTCAAACTTCAGTAGGGACCAAAACGAAGACGATGTAGAAGTTTGCATAGAAGGACACGTTCTCCCCTCAAAGGATTGTTTCAAGTACCTAGGGTCTATGATACATAAAGATGGGGGTGTAGATGATGACGTTACATACCGTATAAAGGCGGGATGGCTAAAGTGGAGGGCCGCTACTGGAGTTTTGTGTGACAAGAAGGTGCCTCTAAAACTTAAGGGAAAATTTTATAGAATGGCAATAAGACCAGTACTATTGTATGGATCAGAATGTTGGGCAACCAAGAAGGATCATGTAAGGAGGATAGAGGCCGCAGAAATGAGAATGCTTCGGTGGACATGCGGTAGGACTCTGTGGGATATGACAACAAACTCTGCTATTAGGATGTCCTTGGGGGTGGTGCCTGTTTCCGAGAAATTGAGGGAAGGAATACTACGGTGGTTTGGGCATGTCCTTAGGCGACTACCATCTGATGTGGTCAGGAGGGTAGAGTCGATTACAGTCGACGGTGCCAGAAGGAGAGGACGACCAAGGCGGAAGTGGGAAGACTGCTTGAGATCTGATTTGATGGATTTAGCCCTTACCGAGGACATGACCTCTGATAGGAAAGTATGGAGACTTAAGACTAGGATAGTCGAGTAGTGTGGGTCACATCTCTAGGGTGTATCATCTCTGTCTTCTTTTACTGCCTTTGTAGTAATTTACATAACTTCTACTTTTTATCCGTTTCTGTTATTGGTATTTTTGAAGGCTTAGAACTGGCCTTGCTATCGTTTGAATTCTGTGTATCATTCTCTCCACTTTTGAATTTAGTCGGGTCTTACGTTTCTGTCCATATACAAAGATTACTGCCCATTACAGACACGCATATGACATTAATGATATTAATGACTGCAGATGAATACTGTACAACTATGTATTTATGTATTTATTTATACATGCATTGCATCTTATCTATATTTTTAATTTTCTGACTGCCGGAGGTCTTCCACGGAAGCTACTCTCAACCTGGCGTTGGGGGCAGCCTACTACCCTACCTCCCCCTTACCCCATTGCATATGGGAATTGGGTTTTGTTGTTGTTGTTGTTGTTAAATTTAATTATAATTTTGGAAACATTATATAGAAATTATCACCTTAAAAGCTCAAATAAAGCCTACCAAAGTGTATTTGGAACCATGGCCACGCAAACTACGATAGTCCTCAAAGGCATACGACAACTTTTTCCATGTAGTTTTCCATAGATATGAACCCCACGAAAATACATTCCATGCATTTAGATCATCTACCAATAATATTAGGTCCTCAGAAATAGGTTGTCTGGCCTCTTTGCCTAAAAAGTCGGCATTCAAAAGTAATAAAAGGCATACTCGGACAACATCAAGGTCATCCATCCGAGTAAAACCATCTTTAAGAAGTAATCTTTTCAAGTCGTCGACGTGTAAACTGGGCTTCGCCTTTGCCAGCTCAGGAAAAACCCGAAATAACCATGATGGGCGGGTGATATGACTAGTGTACCGACCTACTTCATCGTGTCCAAAACGTAGACCAGTGATTAAGCAAAACTCCTCCCGCCCAAAACAAGTATACGCTGGTGGAAAATGAAACCATATCTCTTCATCACCACGTTGTATTCTCTCGGGTAGATTGTTAGTCATGGTCTGAAGAAACAAATGGGTCAACATAGCATCTCCACCTGGATGTTGTACTTTCAGCCATGGCCCAAAGCAAGTATCCTCAAACAATTTTCTTTGTACATGTGTAAGTGTCGACACAATTGTAGTGGCTAGGCTTAATTTATTCCTTAAAGTCAATTAAGCAAAAAAAATCCTAACAAAAACAATAATAACATACCAAGTTAGATACACTATAAACAGACACTATAAACAGACATGATATTAAACAGTGAAAACAAAGCCAAATATGTTTCAAACTAGCACGGTATTCACCCAAGTCATTATTCTATCATAGTTCACAGCATGCATCAGATAACATTCCAGAAGTAAGCACTTATATAAACATTTAAAAGGACAACATATAGGTTTAGTGCAGGTTCAATGACAACATAAAGAGTAGTAGTTTATTCTTGAAACTTAAATTCGCAACACTGTGAAGTTAGTATTTGTCTTTGTTTTTTAGTTGAAGTAATGCAATTCATTCAAGTTTCAATTTGCAGAAGAAAAGTAGTTTTTGAAACTTAATTTCGCAACGCGAAAATGAAAATCGCGTTGCGATTTTCGTGTTGCGAATTTAAGTTTCAAAAACTATTCTTCTGCAAATTGAAACTTAAATGAATTGCATTACTTCAACCAAAAGACAAAACAAAGACAAATACTAACTTCACAAGGTTAAATACTAAACAGTTTAGCAGTATTTGGCAGCAACCGAATGAATTTACTAAGCAATCTAAGTGAAATAGTTAATCTATATATTGAAATTACCAGTAAATTTATCATCAATTTAAATATGAAAAATCTAATAATAATACAAAATTTTCAAAATAAAAATAATTAAAAAAACTAACAGTCGGTGGTTGATTTTCCATTTGTGGACGTGAATCGTTGTGAGGGTGGCTCTGACAGATGGAGATAGAGAGGGGTCGCCGAATATGGGGACGAATTTCGCCGGAGATGGGGACGGATATCGCCATAGAGAGTGAGAGATGGAGATGGGACTGAGTTGTGATTTAGGGTTTTAGGTTATGAGTTGCGATTATATTGTTTACATTTGTGTTGCGAAATTAATATTGTGTTTCGAATTCGAAAATAAAATTCGCGCTGCGAAAATAAACACACTTTGTGAATTTGACTTTTGTGTTGCGAATTTGACTTCTGTGTTGCGATTTACAAATTCTGTATTGCGAATTTGGAAAATCGCGTTGCGGAAAAGAAATTCGAGTTGCGAATTTCAAAACTAAGTTGCGAAATTGGAGTTCGCGTTGCGAATTTGTTGGTCATTTTCGCAAATCCAAAAAAAGTTGGTTAAAATAATATATTATAAGGTATTTTTTGTCACTGAAATTATTTTCTCAATTTAATATTATAGTCGTATCGTGGTGATGCTTGGAAACTGGGATACAACTGTAAGCTCAAGAATAATACCCAGAATTGGCCTTTGGGATTGAGAAACTATAAAGGGTTAGGGTTAGGTATGAGGTAGTCGCGGACATAGAAATTGACAAATGAGTGTTTAAAATTTTAATACTCAATTCAAAAAAATTAGGTGTACAAATTTTCTTATTTTTCCTATTCTCATTAGTAAATTAAATTAAATTTAATTTAATATTTTTTCTCAAAATAATGGGTGTGCAATAGCTCTATTATGGAACCATGGACATCCGCCCTGGTCTACGGTGGCGGTGAAGAATAGGATGGAAGTTGATATAGTCGCCATGTAAGAAGAGCATGGGAGGAGCATTTCAGTGAGAAATTTTGAGTTTATTAGTCCATCAACACTAGACTTCGAATCAACCGACAAGTGATCAAAATTTATGATCAATTTGATTGAATATATAAGTTTTGAGAATTAAAATTCTTATCATACTATGTTATATTATGATCAATTTATGATTAAATCTAACTGTAAGTGATCAACGGAAATGAAATGCAACGTTAGATAAGATTTTAAAAAAATAATTAAATAATCAAAATAAAAATGCGTGACCTAATTTACCCTAAAAAAAGTGAGATGAATTCATTAATACAAAGATTTAAGGTAGAAAAGTAGTCTCGATGTTACTATAACATTAAAGCTATGAATGGTGAGCTACGCGGTAGAACACACACGAATATTATTTGTTTTTACTATAAGATGTGAAAATCATCGAATTCAATAGAAATGAGTATTGATTGCACATTAATCTCCCAGCTTTAATTTCACATAAAATGCTGTTGCAAAAATTTCATAAAAAAAAAAAGCAAGAGTCGATGAAATTGATCAGTAAGGTTTTTCTCCGACGTAATTCCCCGGAGGATCATAGTTGCATGTCATGAAAACACCCTTACCACCATCACAAACCACCTTGGCACACCCGACGCCTCGGGTCTTGCTCCACACAATCTGCGTATAATGCCCGCATTCCTGTCCTCCTACGCACGAATTCGACCCGTGGCCGTACCATTTACTCTCGGACACCCACGAGGCGACCGCGTCGGCGGGCATCCAGTCATCGCCGCTACCCCAAAAGATGTTCTCCCCATAAGGTCCGTTGGAGTGCCTCAAATCACAGTCTTGACGCCTTTGGTTGGCGTACCACCGAGCGTAGTTCGCCATCCTTAAATTCCAAAACAAAGGTGGCAATCCGACGGCAACACGAGCAGCATTGTGAGGAGCCAAGAACTGAGTAATCGGGCCAAAGTAGTTAGCCTGAACGATCGAGACTAACAAAAGGAAAACGATGACGACGAGATTATTGGCTCTCATTTGTGAGATTTCCATCTAGGAATGTTGGCTGAAGGGGGGCGAATGTACAACAACAATTCTCACAGTATATATTGTGAAAGTTTGTTTATTTATTTATTAATTTGTTTAATTTCCTTAGTGGAAGTTAGGTAAAGAAGAGCTTTGATATGGGATGTGGCTAGCATGTTCGATGATGATTGCCACATTTGTTTTTATTTTATTTTATTATTTCACTAGTAGAAGGTATCAACTGTGATACATGTCACCTCCTAATTTAAGGGTTAATTTATTAAATTAAATTAAAATTAAGATCAAATTGATTAAATATAAATATATTGAGGATTAAATGTCTAATTATACCAATTATGTTAACTGACATGCTAACACCTCCTTAAATATTACCTCATGTGGCTTGAAAGATATTAATTAAATAGTTAAGTGGTCATACTGGCGAAATTATGATCATTTCAACACCAACTACATAATTAGATGGTCATTCAAGTAATTTGCTCTTTAATATAATTTTATTTTTAAAACATAATTGTATTTATAATCATTAATTTATAGAGGTAAAATAGTTAAATTTAATTTTAAAATATAAATTTTAAATTTTAAATTTTGCATTAATTATTTACTCTTTAATATATACAATATTTATATGCTTTCATATTTTCTAAGTGGCCTGAATTTAAATATTCAATTGATTATTTTTATTTACATAATATTTATACAAAATACTTTATATGTGTCCTAAATATGTGATTTAGCCTAGTGATTAGATGCCTCAAACCTCCCTTAAAAACTTATGTTCAATTCCCCTTAAGGTCACTCTCTTCAAATTACTTTTTATTTAACCACTTAATTAGATGATTAAATTTATTAAATTAAAATAAAATTAAGATCAAATTGATGGTATGTGTAACCGTGTAAGTAATGAAGACTAAATGTACAATTATATTAATTTTTTATAACAGTTGCATCAACTATTTTGTCAAATATTAACGATGGTTAGTTTGATTGACATCATTTAAATAATTAAGTGATCTAATTAACAAAATTAAAAATATCATTGATCAAATTAAAATCCCCCGTAATTAAATAGTACGAGTGTAGTTTACCCTTAAAGAAATTAAATCAATGATAAGTGGAGTAATAAAAATTTTCTTAATTGTTGCTTCAACTCCTTTATCAAATGTTAACAATAATTGACTTAGTTGAAATTATTTAATTAATTAGTCTGACTGAACAAATTAAATATCGATCGTTAGATTAAAAATATCACATAATTAAGTGATCATATGCATAATTTATATTTTACAAAGTTAAAACGAAGATAGGTCAAATAATAAAACTTTTGTATATAAATTTATTAATTTTATAGTTATATCTCAAATGATTTTGTAACATCCTCCATACCGGGTTAGTGATCAAATTGTGAAATTTTATAATTTAGCAATCAAAGTTGATAAATTGAAAGTTAAGGGAATTGATTGAAATATTTGGTGCAGGATCAATTAGCAAAGCATGGGGAATTAAAGGGGCAAATGAGTCTTTTGACAAGGAAATAATTAAATGTTTCTTAAGGATATTTAATAAATCACATGGAAAGCTAATGAGAGAAACAATGTTCTGGATATTTCTTTCTTCTTCCTTCTCCTTCTTTGCCTTGAAGCCAAGCTAAAGGTGAGTTTCCTTGTTGATTAAATTCTTGATGAATTTAAGGTTTCTTATTGATCCTTAGTTGATAACTAAGCTTAAGGAAAGCTTAGATTATCTTAAAACCATAAGATGAGGAGAATATGAAGAATCAAAGAAAGGAAGTAGAAAAGTGAAATATTGGATTAGAGTTCCTAATAAGAATTAGAAGTGGAATTTGACTTGTCATAAAGCTAACTAAGAAGTATGAGGTGTTAAAATTCAAATTAGAACATGTTGGAATTTGGGTTAGATTCTTAAATTCTACTTGGAGAATTGGATTTTTAAGTTTCAAAAGTATGGAATGGATAATAATTAGTTTAAGTAAGAGTATGCAAGTTAAGGATATATAAAGAGGGGAAATATAAAGTGTTAAGTAGACTAAGAAGAGATTTTCGTGCTAAAATGACAATTTTGGGCAATGTGCATCGATGCACATTCATTGTGCACCGATGCATCGATGATAAATCCCAGAAATTTGTTTAAGGTGCATCGATGCACATGCAGTGCATCGATGCATTAATTTAAAAAGAAAACATCGAATAGGATTTATGCATCGATGCATAAGGAGTGCATCGATGCATCCCCATTAAATACAAACATCGAATAGGATTTATGCATCGATGCATGGTGTAGTGCATCGATGCATACCTCCATTAAAAGATGAAAATGACTTTTCTTTTAGCCTAAGAAATGATCGTTTAGAATATATTAATTAGTATATTGATAAGTATCAATGAATTACTATGTAGATATCGAGCCTAAACGAGTTCCGGAACCATCAACAAGTAGGATCAATCGAGGAAAAGACAAAGAAATCTAGGTGAGTGCATATGCATAGCATGAATATGTATTTTATTCAGTTCTAGACTTGTGATAAGTCTATATTCAATATTTTGATACATGATAGTATTTCATATTATGATATATGACATGAATCCATACCATATGCATTATGGGACATGAATATGCAAGAAACAGTTATATGAGTTATGTGATAAAGGTATGAAAATACTATGTCTACGTGATACAAATAAGATAAATTGTGAAAGCCCATGTTATGTAAATGAGAACTATAGGTATAGTTGGCATGCCAAGGGTAGAGGGTCTATGTGGTCCTTCGGGACATATATGTATTATTTGGAACATGTGTGAGGTCTGGTGAGACACATACTTGATCCTTGGCATATGTATATGATTATTAAGGAATGATATGTGGTCCTTATGGACATTATTATATGGCACTACGGTGCAATTCTACGCGGCACTCCGGTGCAATTCTACGTGGCACTTAGGTGCAATTATATGAGCTGTGGTGACAGCATAGTGCACAACCTCACAATACTCACATACCTTAGGTTCTCTGTATGGTACCATGGGATAATGAACTTACTAAGGCAAACTTATGAATGTGAATTTGATAAGTATAGGTGTAAGAAACATGGTTCTGGTTATTGCATTGTTTACATACATCTTATTATTGCAACTCATCTCATTTTGGCAATTACTTTATATTTATTGATATTATTATTATATTGCCTCACTAAGTCGATGACTTAGCGTGTGAGTGTTTCACACGTAGGATCCGATAAAGTAGACGATCGAGGTTAAGCAGCTGGACAACATTACTCCTGCAACTATCAGATCAGAAGCAACTTAATCAGTAGGTCATTTTGTTATGAAAATGGATGTTGGCATGTAATTAAAGAGTTAAGTTGTGTATGCTCTGAATATTTTGGTAAACTTATATTACCATATGTATATTATTGTATTTTTCGTAATATAAGTTCAAGTATTTTACTATTATTTGTAATGAGTTGTGTTTTAAAAGTCAATGTAATATCTCTGACTCGTATCTGGGTTGAATATGGGTTGGGGGTGTTACAGATTTAGTGTATTGTGAACTTACAATAATCTTATATTTTCATAGAATTTTTCAGAAAATGTCAGTTCTTCATCAATCAAGACTTTCATATAGACCTCTTCACTTATCGGAGTTTTTAAGGAACTTATATAATCTGAACACACGAGTATCATAGCGTCTGAGCCAACTACAGTGTATAGACAAGTCTTCTGACAATCTCATGTGATTTATAAGATGTAATATATAACGGTCAAATCTATTTAACCTATTGGCTTACGAGTAATCAGAATTACCTTATGACTGAAACCGCCAGTTAAGATTCACTGTAAATACACATCAATAATGAATAAGAAAAGATATCTTTATTCATTTTATCTTCTCCTTCGCTCATATATTCTTTCAAATACTTCATCTCCCTCAAAGAGAAAAATTGGTCAAGGGTGTTATTGTATAGAATTGCAACTTTCCCTTCAAATCAAAAGTTGTGAACTATCAACGGCCGACGCAACATATTTATTTTAATTAATAAATACCAAACTAAATAATATGTATAATTAATAAAAAGTTATTTAAATAATTTATTTGTTTTTACTTAACTAAAAAAAATTGACAAATAAATGGAGTTTAAAACAAATTATTTTTGATTGAGCGATTAATGGAACATAGATGAATTTCGGTCTAACAGCCACACAACAAACTCATACGGCGAGATCAATTTTGACTAATCATTGACTTTTGTATGGTTTCATGTTAATTCGAATCATCAACCCTAATGTATTCGTTTCACGGTGGTTTTGGATGAAGTTGAGGCTGGAACTGGTAAGCCGATTGATTGTTTGATAACGGATGCAATTTATGCGTTCGGGGCTGATGTTGCGGATGAATTGAACGTCCCTTGGGTGGCGATTTGGACCGGTGGCGATTTGGCAAAGTTGTCAACATGCTTAAACAAAGATTCGACATGTATGTCAGTATCGGTCCCATCAATCTAGTATCAGTCGACGACTCACGTGGCTGCTTGGACTGGCTGAGCGAGCACGATTGGGAAACGGTGGTGTGCTTCAGCTTTGGAACCGCGATAACGCCACCGCCCCACGAGCTGCAAGCCTTATGTGAAGCCCGGAAGGAAAGTGAGCTCCCATTTCTTTGGTCTTTTAGAGGAAACCCTGAGAAGCAACTGCCATCGGGGTTCCTCAAAAGGACGAGCTCGAAATGGAAGATGGTTCCATGGGCTCCTCAGCAGAAAATATCGGAACATCCGTCTGTCGGGGTATTCGTAAGTCACGGTGGATGGAATTCGGTGCTCGAAAGTATCGTCGGAGGCGTGCCGATATTTTAAGGCCGTTTTTCGGAGACCAATGTTTGAATACTCGAACCGTGGAGGCAGTATGGGGATTCGGGTTGGGATTAGAGGGAGGAACATTGACGAAAGAAGCAGCAATGAAAGCATATGACATGAAAATATCATACGATAAATAAATACACTCCAGACTAATAAAAGAATATGACATGAAAATATCATAGGATAAATAAATAGACGAAGGATGTTCCTTTACATATATAGCAAAGTTTGCAAACCCTAGTAATAAACACAATGCTACAGAGGAAGCAAATTTATTTTACACACTTTTCATTTTGATCCTTAACAATAATAGCACACATACTTCACGATACCAAGCTCTCTCGTGACGGAGGAAGCTATTTTATTTTATTATGGTTATTTGATTGTTTTCATAGATAAAGCTAGTTCTTGAGAAGGAATGCACCGACATTCTTGATCCAAGTGGTTAAGAAATTGCCGTAATTGACCGGATCGGGGATGTCATCATGTTGCTTTTCAAATTCCATGGTCCATTTCACCAGGCCTCCACCCCCCATCTGCTTCACATTAAGGATGGACTTCCAGCTCTTGTAATAATTCAGGCAGTTACCCTCTACTCCTCTAGCACTTTGTAAACGATCGTTTGATTTTTTTCGTCCATCGTTTCTATTATCTCCTTCACGGTCTCAGACTTATCTCTACCATTTTAATAAGTATTGTATCATTAATAAGTATTTAAAGTATTATATCATTAAAAAAATAAGTAATTGTTGGTACAAGATAAGTATACCTTCAACAACATAATACCAGAGCCTGACAGAACCCAAAGAATCCCAATCACACTGAAGAAGTTTAATATCTGTGATGAGTTGATTGGACATGGTTGGCATGAGGTGAGCTTTGGTCTTGTAGGCATCGAAGAACTTATCAGCTGAGGACTTCACCTCAACATAGATATCCATCCTCCTAATTTGGGCCATTGTCTGCCACCTGGGGAAACCTCAGAAACTATGTGGACTTGGGGGTGGATGTTGTGCTTAGATGATTGCCTTATAAAGTAGAATGGGTGACCATTAACCCCTCGGTCTGATGATGATTCCATCAACATTGTGGAGCAGTGTCCTTGGAATTCACTTATAAGAAATTTTAGATTTACATTTTTTTTAATTTTACTTCGATGGTAAAGGAATTGTTGTTATTCCTTGAGGTTTATGTTCCCATACATACCATAAAATAGACGGATGAGATTATTTCATTATTTTTTATGTGAATATCTTCTCATTTTCTATTATTAATCTTAATCGTCTATTTTCACTCATAAAAATTACACGGTGTGAACAAGTCTTGCCTCTATATGAGTTAGGATTCACTTACACCTAATGTAAAACTTTTAGTTTTATAACTTTTTAGGATCATTGGATAAGTGAAAATAGATTGATGAAATTACCTCTTGTTTTTTAGGTATATATTCTCATTTTTCACTGTTAATTTCAATCGCCTATTTTCATGTTTTTAGCTATATCTTCTCTTTTTTATTGTTAATCTCAATCGTTTATTTTCGTGCATCCATCCAACAATTCTACACACACGCATATAAATAGGGTTAGAAACCACTTATACTGTTTAAAACTCTTTTAATTTTTTAGGACTATTGGATTGAGGAAAATCAAAAGATGAGATTAACTCTTTTTTTCCAGTGAATATCTTCTAATCTTTTACTTTTAATTTTAGCATTTAATTTCTCTCATCCAATGATCCTAAAAATATATAAAATTAAAAGAACTTTAAATAGTATAATTGAATCATACCCATATATATAATCAACTTTTGGTCTAAAATTTATTTGAATTTGGTCTAAAAATTCAAAGATATTATTGAATCAAATCAAACTTATGTACTTAACTACTTCAGTATGTCTCTCTATATCACTAAATTTCAAATTAACCACTAAAAGTGAATGTATACAATAAATTTTTATCCCGATTTTATTATTTTTATTATAATTATTTTATTATTATTAATAATAATAAATAATTTTATTTATTTACAGACCTAAATATTAAATCCCAAAGCCCAATTTTACAAGCCTGATCAAAACAGACCCGACCCAACACCCATCTAGGATTTTCAGCATCTATTTTCAGCCGCCAACAAATTCCAGCCATTAGATCTGGCCATGATCCAATGGTCCAGATCTCTCCCAACAGAAACCCTAGGGTTCACCAATCCTAGAGTGATTTCGGCGCCGTCTTCAACCACTCCGAACTGTTCCGCCGTTATGTTCCCTAGTAAGCCGCTGCCACGACGCCATCCTCAGCCACTCCAACTGCTCCGCCGCTTTTACGCCAACTGCTCCGCCACCATATTCCCTAGTCATTTGCTGCCACGACACTGAAAGCTCCATGAGAACCAAGAATGACCGCACACTTCACGATCTATGGTGAGTCGCCATTCTACTCTCGGTGACTCACCAAAATCCACCGATCAAATGATTGTTCGACCCTATAAAAGGACTCGACCACCTGCAAGAAAAAAAGGAAGAGACAGAAAAAGAAGGGAGCAACAAAGACACCAACAAACGGAGAGCAAAAACACACATAAACAAGAGAAATAGCGAAATAGAAAGAGGAAAATACAACTCACAGCAGCCAAGCAGTTAACCAAAAGAGGAAAAGAGACTTACCGAGAAGACTTTTAAAATAAATATTATATATAATATTAAACAATGTTTTAAAATATTTACTTTAATAAAATGTTAGGTCCAGCAAAAATTTTAAAGCAACTAGTTCAAAGAAAAAAATATTAGGTCCCATTCCTTTGAATAATTCATACACGTTACCTACCCATTAAATTTAAAGTATTGTAATATATTATATATAATATTAAACAATGTTTTAAAATATTTACTTTAATATATTAAATATATTATTTAATAATTGTTTTATTTTTTATTTTTATATGAATATATATATATATATATATTTAATTAAATAAATAATAATATTTATTTATTTTAAAATATTAAGAAAAATTTGTCTTAGAATAACTAGATGTCTTATTCTGATATTTTAAAATAAATAAATATTCCACTTATAAAAAAGGCTTAAAAAATAAAATATGTTTAATTTAATTATATTTATTTTGATTATTTTTAATTTTCTATTAAATAAATTTATGTGATTGAATATGAAATAATATGATCGTAAATTAAATTTATATTTGAATTCTTAAATTTCTATTATCAGAGACAATTTATAATCGACGGATACCAATTTTGGGCGTTGTGGGGTGATATTCCTTCCCCAAACGTAACCGACCACAAATCCCTTTTTATTACTAAAAAGAATGAATTTTTAGTTACACGCAGACCAGTTTTTTTCTTAAAAACTCTTTTAAAAGATAATTTTTAGGTATTCGACCTACCTAACACAAAAAGTTCGATGGCGACTCTAAAACATTTCATTAAAAACCATTTATTCACTCGCTTTTCCGACAAGAAACATTCGTGCCCGGGTGAAAACCGGTTACGACAGTGAACTATGAAAATAACTTTTAAATTTGATACAATTTATTCTATATAAATAGGTAAGTTCATTATTTTACTTAAATTAAATTAATAATTAATTAAAAATAGAGTTCATATCTAAAATTAAAATTACAACAATAACCTTTAAATTTTTAAAATTGATAACTTCATTCTATATAAATAGGTTAATCCTATCTTAATCCTTTGTTCACCAAATATTTTTAATGATTTATACTTTGGGCACTCAAATTGGAATTATTCCATTTAGCTTTTCCTAAAGGAATTTTAATCGTTTTATCTCATTAACATATATAAATATATAAGATTCCGTTCTAATCTTTCATTCATGAAAAAAAAAATTAATTAATCACTGTAAAAACGTTTATATTTCTCTAATTAATTCGATATGATCACAAGCAGGGTTTTAAAAAACGGTCTGCGACCGCGATTTCGGCCGCGAGCGGTTTCGCCGCCGTCCGAGTTACCCGCGACAGCCGCAATAGCGTCCGCGATGGCCGCAATATCCTCCGCGACGGCCGCAATCACGGTAAATCCGAAATAACCGAAAACGCGACCGCGACCGCAATTTAAAACCCTGATCACAAGTCCCTAATTTTTACAGTTTTAGCATGTCTACTCATTACTCCTAAGAGCACTCTGCTTTGAACATTTACAGTTTCCACCCATAGTTTGTACTAATGTTTCATTTATCTGTGTGATCTCCATTAGTTTTGGGGTTTGTTTTTATATACGTTACTCGGTTTGCCATCAAATCATATAATTATGCACAACAGCTTTCAAATATGGTATAATCAATTAACGAAGTTTATTGAATTTGGAACACATCAAGTGGACCTGATAGTATGTTTCTTTTGCTTCGCTGCAATGACTGAATAAAAGAAATTTGATCTCTGATCACCATTTTCCAACCACTTTAACTTTCTGGTGAAAAGAAAAGACCAGACAAGGGAAGAAGTAACTGAGCTCGGGGTGCGCTATTCTTTGCCATGAATAACTTCGGATTAGAGGACTTAAAACCACTGCCTCTTCAACGAAAACTAGAAATGCAGGACTCGCCTGAAACCAAAGTCACGAGCATCGTTCCTTTGGCAGCCAAGGATGTCAAAGATCTGAAGCAGAATCCTGGATATAGCAATGTTGACGTATACAATATGAGGAGAAAAGTAAGGCTACAAAGGAATTCAGGCCAGACTATATTCTTGGCGAGGGTGGCTTCGGGGTTGTTTACAAAGGAGTAATAGATGAGACTGTGAGGCCTGGTTATAAGTCCACAGCCGTCGCTGTTAAGGAGCTTAATCGAGATGGGTTCCAAGGTGACAGAGAATGGCTGGTAATCCACTAATCCTCCTTGTATAGTCTCTGCATCTTCCTTCTCCTAGGAAGAAATTTGAGTTAATACTTTTTTATGTTTATAGCTATCTAGTTTTTACTTGCATCAATCTAGATAGTTAGTCAAAAGGGCTGTTCCATTAATATATTTAACCCTGACTTCCTTCTCCTAGTCCTAGGATTACTAGTATTTACATTCATATATGATATTTTGTGGCTCACTGGCTCTTCTTCTCTAGTCTGCTTCGATTTTGTGGCTGGTTGAGAAAAATATCTGTTTAAAGCATCTGCATTGTTCTTACATTTTTCAAAGAAAGAAGTTTCAATTTTCCGTTATACGGAAAATGGAAGCATCATTTATATGCCTATCTATTCTTGGTTGGTAGGAGTTGGTTGCTGCTTGACGTGATCCAAAAGGATGAAGATCGCTTTAGATGCAGCTAAAGGGCTTGCTTTTCTTCATGGTGCCGAAAGGCCTATCATTTACCGTGACTTCAAGACATCAAACGTCTTATTGGATGCGGTTAGTCCTCATTTTTCTGTTTGTCATTTATTTTGCCCTTGCATTAATCAAGTTCACTTTTTCATTTGTGTAGAAAAATCTTTAATCTGAATTCTAATTTTACAACAGCTCCTTAAAGTCAAAGGTAGATGATAAAATCATTGGAAGTTTAATTCTGGCAAGGATTAACCCATTCCGCGAGTTAAATTGAAAATTTTCAGTATGTATGTGGTCTCTTTCCAATATGTTTTGGTTTCTGTCACTAAAAATGCTCATAACATGTAGAACTTCAATGCAGAGCTCTCAGACTTTGGACTTGCGAAGGATGGACCAACCGGGGAGCAGACCCATGTGTCAACACGAGTGATGGGCACATACGGATATGCGGCTCCTGAATATGTGATGACAGGGTAGAAGTTAATTATTCTGTTTCAAGAGAATCGAAATTCTTCTTCATTAAAATTCTTTGGACAATTTCACCTTTATTTGGACTTGTAAATTCTTTGGTGTACTATAATTGTTTCTGCACTTTATGACTTGAGAAAGTTATGGCATATATTTATTTTGCATGAAAATATTTACTTTCCTTTTTTGGGATGTAGCTTATAGTTGTTAAGTTATGCCAGTACTAGAAATGGTAATGGCTAACCAAGTTGCAGTATTGATATGACCAGGCCATTTAACGGGGAGAAGTGATGTTTATGGATTTGGAGTAGTCTTACTCGAGATGCTCCTTGGAAGAAGAGCGATGGATAAATCCAAGCCTAACCGAGAACATAACTTGCTTGAGTGGGCTCGTCCACTCTTGAACCATAATAAGAAGCTTTTGAGGATCTTAGACCCGATAATGGATGGTCAGTACTCAGCTGAAACTGCAATGAAGGTAGGCAAAAAACCCAAAAGAGAGACCTCTCATGAGTGAAGTGGTTGAATTACTCGAGACTCTTGAGATAGATGAGGTCAGTCATGAACAGGCAACACTTCACACTAGTTCCTCTCGCGCTTCTGTGAAGAAGAGGACTTCTTCCAGAAGCAGAAGTCACAGGGAAGGGACCGCACAAGGAAGCAGATCGATAAATTTAAGAAGCAGGAGTGAACCTCCCAAAGAGTTTGATCTTTATGATCTAGTCTTGAAGCTGAAGAAAAGTCTGAATCCGACAGAGGTTGAGCCTGTAGCAAATGAGCTTTGGGAGTTGAAAAATATTCTAAAGATTTATCCGAGGATCTGTTGTCTTTAGTGCCCGGGAGAGCCGCCACTCGCACTCCTTGTCACGTCGGAGTTTCAAAGCATTTGTCAGCCGGTACTCAAACGGTATGTTTATTTATAAATTAAAATTTAAGGGTCGATGATGTACCTTTCCGTCTTCAAATGGTGGGGAAGATGTACAAGTGATCGCCATATGCAGTTCTGAAAGAATGGTAATTGGGAACTGGGACAACATGGTCCTCTTTTGCATTTTGTTAATTAAATGTGCTGGACTGAGCACGTGTAAGTTTTGTCTGCATAATTTTCATTTCGGACCACTGGTCCTCATGGAATATCCAAATTGTGAATGAAGTTACAAGTTGCAATGTCTGTCTATTTTCTTCCTCAATCCAACGGATTGTATGAAAAAGACAAGGCTATTGTGTTAAGTATCTTTATTAATTAATTTCTTATTAGGTAATTAATGGTATCTTGTTGGTTTCAATCCATGTGAAAATGGAACTTCAGCTAAGGTGGTGTCATGAAAATTCGAGCATGAAAATTCTGCTATGTACATTCGAGTTAGAGTTCGATTCGATCCGACTAATGTACTGCAAGTATTAGGAAAGACCAAACATGCTTCCATACGTGGTGTATGATGAAAAGAGATGGTTGTTGATTTCCCGCCTGAAATTACCGACAATGGCGGAATGTTTCCTTTAAATTTACGTTTTATGCTTTATAAAAGATAAAGAGAGTAAAAAAGCTGATGTAATTCAATCATCGTGCCACACACAATAACAGACACGCCATGGAATCCGACAACATGATTAAAAACAAAAAAGCTTTATGTGGTTGCTGCTGACTGCTGACCCATCGATTATCCATTAAGCATTTTACTACATTAAGTGCTCATCGGCAATGGCTCATCACTCGTCTTTTTCCTCTTGTCCAAATACGACCATATATAGCTGCCGCCGTTGAATTAGCCGGCCTGTTCTGTTTAATACTTTTGTTTCTGCTCTTTTGTATCTTTAATGAATAAGCCGACCGAATGCACTTCTTCTTCTTCTTCCCCGTTTGCCTTTTCATGGTTAATGTGGTGCAAATATTTGTAAATAATGGGCCAAGGCTATTCTTCCTCTTGGCCTGGACAGGGTCGTAGTGGAGACCTCAGCCTGGAATTGCCCGACGATTGCTTGGCGTTGATATTCGGAAACCTCGGGTGTCATGACCGGAACAACTGCTCACTCGTATGCAAGCGTTGGAAACATGTGGATTCCAAGTCAAGGCAACGGCTCATTTTGGTTGCTCGCTCGGAGATTTCTCTTTGGTTCCCTTCGCTTTTCACTCGGTTCAGCTCGGTCTCGGTCCTCTCCCTCAAATGCTCCCGTAAGCTTGTTAGCGTAGACAATGATGCCTTGGCTCGCATTCCGACCCTGCTGCCTTCTTTAAAGAAGCTTAAGCTCAAGGGCTGTGTCGACATTACCGACACTGGTCTCGTTACATTCTCCCTGCACCATCCACCTCTGCTCAGTAAACTCTCCTTCGCTTCTTGCGGGATCGGTAGCAGAGGTGTTGTTTCTCTTCTCATAAACTGCCCGTCTCTTAAAGACCTCACGCTAAAACGTCTCCGGAAGCTTGACGCGGAAGGCACTCCTTTGTCATTCGAGCACCAATCATGCTTCGAAACTAAATCGAACACCAACGATTGCTATAGTTATGCTAAGCTTGAGAGGTTATGCCTCAAGGATCTTCACAATGCTCGCCTTTTCATTCCACTTCTCGGCTCGTCTGCTCAGACGCTTAAGACCCTGATCGTGTGTCGGAGTTCGGGGAACTGGGATTCGGTTCTGCAGAGCCTTCAGACTACTAGTACTAGCATTGTGGAGATACAAATGGATAATGTGCAACTGGGGGATCCAGGCCTTGTTGCAATCTCCAGCTATTGTCCTCGCCTTCAGGTACTCTACCTCAGCAGAGCTACCGATTGCACCGACAACGGATTGTCTGCCATCTCCAACTCCTGTAGGCAGCTCCGGAAGCTACACATCGATTCGTGGAGCAGGTTCGGCGGCCGGGCCATCAGCGAGGAAGGCTTCTTGTCAATTGCAACAAAATGCTCTTGCCTTCAAGAGGTAGTACTCATGGGAGTGGCCATCACTGTCATCTCACTCAATGCCCTTGCTACAAGCTGCCCTGTGCTCGAAAGAATGGCACTTTGTAACACCGACTCGGTAGGGGACTTGGAGATGCAATTCATCGGTTATAAGTTCAATGCGCTTAAGAAGCTGTGCATTAAGAACTGCCCTATCTCCGATACCGGTATCAAAGCCGTAGGCGAAGGGTGTGCGAGTCTAGTGAAGTTGAAGGTGAAGAGATGCCGAGGGGTGACGAAGGAAAGCGTGTGGAAGCTAAGTATGAGGAGGAGACGTTTGATCGTATCGGTCGATAATGGGTCGATGTTGTTGGCCGACGATGAAATGGTGTTGGCTCCAAAGAGGGCTTCAACTTCAAGCTCAAGGACACATGACGTGAACGTGATTTGCGGCAGCAGAGGCGCTCTCTTGCTCAGGTCTCGGTTTGAGCATGCTCTACGCTTTAACAACAATAACAGAAGAAGACCCAATTGATGCACACAATTCGCATCTGTCCTTTCTTGTTTTTACATCCTTTTCCTGCCAAATTTGGATTGATTTTGATTTGTTTTGTTCTTTCTATATGTTTTTGTCTTCTGGTCTAAGCAATTCATCCATTCACTCAAAATTCTTGCAGCATCTGATCGACTTTTGGACAAATTAAGATTTTTGCACTGTTGCTCCATTCTGAACCACAAGGTTTTGGACATTGGATGTGTTGAAATATGAATATGATACATTCGAATATATTAGTATATAAATATGAAGAGCCACTTTAGGGATGATAATGGTTTGGTATATCAACATATCTGTTTGACAAATCTCTTTATCAAATTATATAGCTGTTTCTAAATTAAAAGTGATTAAAAACAAAACTCACAATGAAATGAGGGATGGATGGAATTGGGGCGGCTGGAGACCATAGTTCCCTTGATAATTTTAAATTATATATTTTAGATACTTTTATATTTTTTATTTATAATCTATTTTTTCATAAAATTTTACAATTTCGCTTCTTCAAATATTTTTAAAATTCACCTCTAAAATAAAATGGTAAAAAGGCATCAGGGATCTCTGTACTTTTGGGGGAAAACTAGGTGACTCTCGTATTATTTTTTCTCTCAATGCGACCCTCTAACTCAGAAAATAAACTCAATATGACCAATGTTTGTTCATCGTTGACTGTTACGATTCTGATATGACAGTTCACGGTGTTGATGTGGAAATTTACAATACTGACATAACAGTCCATGGTGGAAGATTAACGTGGCAGATGACATGACAGATTGACTAAATTGGTAACTCAAACAAGGTAAATGGAAGTCAGCACCGTGGACTGCCACATCAGCATCGTAAATTAACATGCCAATATAGTAATGGTCAACGATGAATGTAACATCTCATTTTTTGGGCCTAATTGAAATGTTTTAAAAATGTTACAATTATTTGTAATTTCTTGTCAGTTAGGGGCTTAAGGCAAAATATGGCCATATGTGGGTTTAAAACCTAACTCCCTTCCATTTTTCTCTTCTTTCTCTGGTGAACAATCCCAATCGGGGTTTAGTTTTCCCTCTCCCTCTGTTTCAAAACAAAAACATAAGTGCCATTTTGGTTTAATTCATTTTGTTTGTCGATTCCGTTAGTTGTGGTTTACACCTTCGGTACCCCACTATTTTTCGTGTTGTTCCCGTTCGTCCAGTGGTCATAGTTTTTCGTTTGCTAACGATGTTAGCATTTTTAGAGAGAAAGTAATTTTGGGTTTCATTAAAAAAATCATTTTTTGACGTTGTTTCTGTAACCCAAACCCAGTAAGTTGTTCCCCGCGCTTTGAATTAATTTTCTGAAAATTTTGGTGTGAAAATCGCCGCCGGACGGCATCCTACGTACCCACACGTCGTTCAGATATCATACAGTAGTTAGTATGCATCCCCGTAGGAGAACACGTCGTTCTATATTTACCCGCAGATATGATAGCGCTCGAGGCCGTGGAGGTTGGGTGACTATTTCTGATAGAGATCCTCCCGTTTCTAAGGTCGAGTCGTCGGATGTGCATACTCGAGCATCTTATTCTTCTGACCTGACTGAACATACTCGAGTGTGATTCTCCTAATCTGACTGAGTATACCAAGCATACTGAGCATACACTTGTCACTGGAGTCAGAGCTACTGATGAGTCGGGGGTGCTGATGTTGGTCAAACAATTTTATGTTTACTTCAAAGATTTGTTGGGGTCCAGTCAGAGGATAATTCTACTACTGTCTCGTCGAAGATGTTGCGTAACAGATTAGAGAATTTCAGAGGGATTTCTTAAGCATTCCCTTTTGTTGAGGATTGTTGGAATAAGGATATTAAGCATTTGTTGGATGAAATGGATTATCTAGTTGAACGGAGACTTCATGTTGTTGTCTCTCTGCTCAAAGAGGATACCCTAAATTGGTGGAATTCTGTAAAGATAATTACTCTGATGGATCAGTTGACTTATGAGTTTCTCTAGAATGCTTTTCAGAGTCACTTTATTACTAGTCGATATCTAAAAAAGCGAAAGCAAAAGTTGATGGATCTGAAATAGGGTGATATGATTATTCAGGAGTATGAGAGGGAATTTGTTTAGCTCGTTGACAAAGCTAAGACTGCTGAAGAGATGGAAGACCTCAATAGAGAGCATTACAGTCGGAAAAGAAAACAATCAGGTTTTGAGGGTCCTTTTATTTATTCTGCTCATCATAGAAAACGATTGAAAGATGATATACTGAGGGTTGATTCTGGGTCTAGACGTGTATTTTCTTCTGGTCGGTCTAAGAGTAGGGGTGTTTCTTCTTCATAGCGGGTTGTCCCTACTTGTACATTCTGTAGTAAGTATCATGATGGGGAGCTTCCGTGCTATTTGTTAAGAAAAAAAAGGGTCTTTGCACTTGTGTATTGATTATCGAAAGCTGAATAAGCTGACGATTAAAAATAAATACTCATTATCATGCATCGATGATTTATTTGATCATGCATCAGTGATTTGTTTGATCAGTTCCGTGGTGCATCAATTTTCTCTAAGATCAATATTTGATCTGGGTATTATCAGATCAAAGTAAAAGATTTTGATGTTCCAAGAATGACTTTTTGTACTCGATATAGTCATTACAAGTTTTTAGTAATGTCATTCGGCTTGACTAATGCTCCTACTGCTTTTATGGATATAATAAACCATGTTTTCCAACTGTATCTGGATCATTTTTTCATTGTTTCCAGTGATGATATTCTGATTTACTCGAATTCTAAGGATGGACATGATGAACATTTAAGAATTGTTTTGCATACTCTGAATGAAAAACAACTCTATGCGAAGTTCTGTAAGTGTGAATTCTAGCTTAGCGAGGTGATATTCTTGGGTCGCATTATTTTGGTTAAGGGTATTTTTGTGAATCTGAAAAAGATTGAGGTTATTCTGAATTGGAAATAACTGAAGAATGTGGCTGAGGTTCATAGGTTTTTTGGCTTAGCGGGTTATTATCGGAGGTTTGTATATGAGTTTTCTATGATTGCAGCTCCCTTGACAAAACTTCTGTGAAAAAAATATATCATTCTTCTGGGGTGAAGCTCAATAATCGGTTTTCGAGTAGTTGAAATATGTTCTGACCTAAGCACCGGTTTTGATCTAACTGAAGTCTAGAAATGATTATAAAGTTTATAGTAATGCTTCACATACTGGTTTGGGTTTTATTATGATGTATGATGGTAGAGCGATAGCTTATACATCTCGTCAGTTAAAGACACGTGAGTGTAACTACCCTAGCATGATCTGGAGTTAGCTGCAATGGTCTTTGTGTTGAAAATCTGAAGGCACTACCTTTATGGTGAAAAATGTTATATCTACACTGAGTACAAAAGTCTGAAATATTTGTTGACTCAGAAGGATATGAATTTGAGACATCATCGTTGGCTAGAGTTTCTAAAAGATTATGATTTCTAGATTGAGTATCATCCTGGAAAGACCAATGTAGTTGTCGATGCTTTGAGTTGTAGAGCGACTACTGATTTGAGGGTGATGTTCGCCAGTTTGAGTTTATATAATGATGGCACCTTTTTATCTAAACTCCAAATTAATACTACTTTGGCAGTTGAGATTCAGTCGAAGAAATCTCTCTATGTATCCATGTTTCCGTTTGCAAAGCGAACTAAGCAAGGTTCTGATTCTGAATACACATTTGATGAGAATGGTGTATTATGTTTTCGGGGATGTTATTATGCTCCGAATGATCATGAGTTATGAACTGCTATTTTGAGGGAGGCTCACGATAACCCCTACTCGATGCATCTTAATGGTGTTAAGATGTATCGAAATCTCAAAGAAATGTATTATTGGTCTAGTTTAAAAAGGGGACGTCACCGAGTATGTGGCTACATGTAGTACTTACTGTTAAGTTTCCATAAAAAATAAAATGGTTGAGAAATAAAATTAGGCATTGTGACATACCCTTACACACATGTAATTGGCGTTCATCATTATTCTTAAAATTTTTATGATAGTTCACGGTAATATGTCGGATTTAATATCGATGTTGGACATGGGGTGGTTGCCACATTGGACCCAAAAAATCCATTGCTGCTTTGATCTCAGCTCCGCGGTGTAAAATGATACATATTTTTCCCTCGTGACAACATGTAAGTGTAAGTTTCTAAGAAAAAAAACCCAAGAATCTATATATTCACTTTCAACAAGGGAAAAAACAACTAGAAGAATATTGCGATTACCATCTTGGACAACTACCAATAGTAAAACTTGCTTGTATTTTCCATACAAGATGTCTCATAAATTTGGACCACGAACTTGCATTATTTCACAACATTAATGCACTGCGGGTAAGTCCAAAAAAGTCGATAGAATTGGCATCGATCACGAAGCATTAAATCATTGTGGTATACATGGCAAGTTTCAAAGTCGACTATTGTCACAGTATTCAGTCTGCGCATTACCCTAAACCAACTTGGTAGTTCGTGTAAAATGAATCCCACTTGCTATGAAGTTTTTTAATGGCATTCTATTTTTTCTTCCATGTTTTTTTGTAGGATACGATGTACCCATATTGAGATTGTATAGCTAAAATCAACACCACAATAGCTATATCGGAGCTTGTTTTGACCATGGGCATGATGGCTTGGCAGATAATGTCGGAGTCTAAGTTGGGATAGTTTCAAAGTCGATTGTTGTATATTGTTAGTTCACATGTTATTTTTCCTCTTTTTCTTCGATACACGAACCATCCATTTGCATCCATTATCACGTTAAACACAGTGACAAACATATTTTTCGGTAGTAGATCGGTCGACTATGGAGTAAACAAAATTATGAATTTTATAATTCTTAATTGCAATTATCACTTCTTTTTTTGGATGGAAACTTCATTCCGATATATAACTCACTTTACTAATGAGTTAAATCAGTAATCACCAACATTAGGCATATCCGTAAATTCTGTTGTATATTATATCATATTCAACTTCATATATGTGTGTTGGAGGTTTGGTGTGTACTGTATTCGTGGGAACTTCATCTACATCATCATTATCATTAGAGTCCACGTTGAATTGCGGTGATTCTGGCTCAACAAATATTTCAGTCTCAACA